ATGGACTAAGACTGGGGGGTCATTAAAGGTCATGTGCGTGGGAAGAGCGGGGCCAACTCAATATTGAACCCTACGGACTAAGACTGGGGGGCCATTAAAGGTCATGTGCGGGGAAAGGGTGGGGCCAACTCAATATTGAACCCTACGGACTAAGACTGGGGGGCCATTAAAGGTCATGTGCGTGGAAAGGGCGGGCCAACTCAATATTGAACCCTACGGACTAAGACTGGGGGGCCATTAAAGGTCATGTGTGTGGAAAGGCAGGCAGCCCAATACTTTTGGCAATATATTGCGTGTATATATACAGTGGGGATGGAAAGTTTGGGCACCCCAGCTAAAAATTTGTATTAATGTGCATAAAGAAGCCAGGAGAGTTGGAAAAATCTCCAAAAAGGCATCAAATTACAGATTAGACATTCTTATAATATGTCAACAAAAGTTAGATTTTATTTCCATCATTTACACTTTCAAAATAACAGAAAACAAAAAAATGGCGTCTGCAAAAGTTTGGGCCCCCTGCAGAGTTATATCTTGTACTGCCCCCTTTGGCAAGTATCACGGCTTGTAAACGCTTTTTGTAGCCAGCCAAGAGTCTTTCAGTTCTTGTTTGAGGTATCTTTGCCCATTCTTCCTTACAAAAGTCTTCCAGTTCTTTGAGATTTCTGGGCTGTCTGTCACGCACGGCTCTTTTAAGGTCTATCCATAGATTTTCAATGATGTTGAGGTCAGGAGATTGTGAAGGCCATGGCAAAACCTTCAGTAGCAAACGCCTCTTGATGTAATCCCCCGTGGATTTCCAGGTGTGTTTAGGATCATCATCCATTTTGTAGAAGCCATCCTCTCTTTAACTTCAGCTGGAAGACCAAGAAAATTCACAGATGGCATCAAGTTACCATCCAAAATTTGCTGAAATTTTATTGAATCCATTTTTCCTTCTACTCGTGAGATGTTCCCTGTGCCACTGGCTGCAACACAACCCCAAAGCATGATTGATCCAACCCCATGCTTCACAGTTGGACAGAGGTTCTTTTCATTCAATTCTGTGCCCCTTCTTCTCCAAACGTACCTTTGCTCATTCCTCAGCCAAAAAGTTCAATTTTAACCTCATCGGTCCACAGAACTTGTTTCCAAAATGCATCAGGCTTGTCTATATGTTCATTTGCAAAGTTCAAACGATGGTTTTTGGGGTGAGGACGTAGAAGAGGTTTTCTTCTGATGACTCTTCCATGAAGACCATATTTGTACAAGTATCTCTTTATAGTGGAATAGTGACCACAACTCCAGTGTCTGCCAGATCTTTCTGGAGGGATCGTGCAGTCAAACGTGGGTTTTGAATTGTTTTTCTCACAATCCTGCGAGCTGTTCTGTCTGATATTTTTCTTGGTCTTCCAGATCTTGCTTTAACTTCCACTGTTCCTGATGACTGCCATTTCTTAATTACATTCCGAACAGAGGATATTGACATCTGAAAACGCTTTGCTATCTTCTTATAGCCTTCTCCAGCTTTGTGAGCCTTCAACTATTTTCAGTTTCAGTTTTCTAGACAACTGCTTAGAAGAACCCATGGTGCTGATTGTTGGGGCAAGGTCAGATGAGTCGGGGCATTTAAAACCTTTGAGATTGACATCACCTGGTCTTCCCAGACGATGATTGAGAACAATCCATGACACTGGCAGGTCTCAGCTTGGCAAAGGGGGCAGTGCATGCTATAAATTCTGCAGGGGGCCCAAACATTTGCAGACGCCATTTTTTTTTTTGTTTTCTGTTATTTTGAAAGTGTAAATGATGGAAATAAAATCTAACTTTTGTTGACATATTATAAGAATGTCTAATCTGTAATTTGATGCCTTTTGGAGATTTTTCCATCTTTCCTTGGCTTCTTTATGCACATTAATACACATTTTTATCTGGGGTGCCCAAACTTTCCATCCCCACTGTATGTATATATATATATATATATTAAAAAGATTTTTTACATTTATTTATTTATTTCCCCCGCACACTTTTTATACACTCCGTAGTAACATAATCCATAAACAGACACATCGGCGGTGGGCGGCACATCATGTACATTTCATGCCTCGGGTGGGCGGCGATGCAGAAGAGGGACACATCTGCTGGCATTCAGTAGTGACTCACTCCTCCGGCAGATCTGACCTCTCCTCGGCCGCCCCCTCTTCTCTCGCTGCCCCCCCCCGTCTCTTCTGCCGCCCCCCTCTTCTCGGCCGCCCCCCTCTTCTCTCGCCGCCCCCCTCTTCTCTCCTTCTCCCACATCATTAGGTAGAACTATCCGCCCCCCACCTCCCCTCCTCCACCATCCTCGGCTTACCTTTAAGTCACCTGGAATAATGGCTCCCAAATCTCTGTCCTAATTAGAGGGTGACATTCTCCCGTATTACCTCTACATCACTCTGCTGAATTTTTAAGGCCCCGGCGAGTCGATCTGCAGCTCTTCACATTAAAGTGTAATTGATGGACTTGATGCTAAAAAAAAAAAAAAAAAAAAGGAACTTTCCTCTAATGAAGGAGCCGGGCGTTGTTTTCAGACCGAGGAGACGCTCTAATCACTAAATGGAGCCAATTAGCATTTTTTTTAATCCTCTTTCATTTGCAGGGATGCACAGCTAAAGTCGATGCCTGTATTCTTAAAGGGCCATCGACTTTTATAATGGGTGTATTAATACTTTTAATATTGGGTGTATTTATTAAGAAATTTACATAGCTGATCATCTATTTAGACTACCTGTAAATTTGTTCTGTGCGAATGAGGAAAAATTGAACGTTCTCAGGATATATTCTCTGCAGATCGAATGTTATTCATTGAAAAAAAAAAAAAAAAAAAAAAAGTATGAATGGGGACAATACTGCATCATGGCCATTAGGTGGCACTAAGTGTCATAGGAAATAAGTATGCTGCTCAGCTCCATCTAGTGGCCACAATGTGGTACTTTAACATCCACACAGAACCGGCTTTCTGTGCCACCAGATGTCTCATTAAAGAGAACCCGTCTAAACAAAATACAATCACATGGGAACTTTCAGTCTCCCTATGTGGTTAAAAAGAAAGATAAAGTGGATACAAACCTTATTTTTTCCCTAAAATAAAAAAAAATGTCAAACTTACCAGCTCTACAATGGTTATACACAGAGGGGCTCTGAACCATCTCTTTTGGGGCCCCTGTCCGGCACTCTCCGCTCCTCCTCTTCTGTGAGTGCACCCATAGCAAGCGGCTTGCTATGGGTCACTTGTGCAGGCCTGCCCACAAGCTGGGCTGCGTGTGTCCATAGCCACTTCCTATGGGAGAGCTTATGCTGGCCCCCACCCCCGAGCTGGGCTGTGTGTGTCCATAGCCACTAGTTATGGGAACTTGTGCGGGTCCGCCCCCGAGCTGGGCTGTGTGTGCCCATAGCCACTTCCTATGAGAGAGCTTGTGCGGGTCCGCCCCCGAGCTGGGCTGTGTGTGCCTATAGCCACTTCCTATGGGAGAGCTTATGCTGGCCCACCCCCGAGCTGGGCTGTGTGTGCCCATAGCCACTAGTTATGGGAACTTGTGCGGGTCCGCCCCCGAGCTGGGCTGTGTGTGCCCATAGCCACTTCCTATGAGAGAGCTTGTGCGGGTCCGCCCCCGAGCTGGGCTAGTTATGTGTGTGCCCCCTATGTGTGCCCATAGCCACTTCCTATGAGAGAGCTTGTGCGGGGCCCGCCCCTGAGCATGGCTGTGTGTGCCCATAGCTGCTAGTTATGGGAACTTGTGCGGGTCCGCCCCCGAGCTGGGCTGTGTGTGCCCATAGCCACTTCCTATGAGAGAGCTTGTGCGGGTCCGCCCCCGAGCTGGGCTGTGTGTGCCTATAGCCACTTCCTATGAGAGAGCTTGTGCGGGTCCGCCCCTGAGCATGGCTGTGTGTGCCCATAGCCTGCTAGTTATGGGAACTTGTGCGGGTCCGCCCCTGAGCTGGGCTGTGTGTGCCAATAGCCACTTCCTATGAGAGAGCTTGTGCGGGTCCGCCCCGAGCTGGGCTGTGTGTGCCCATAGCCGCTAGTTATGGAACTTGTGCGGGTCCGCCCCCAAGCTGGGCTGTGTGAGTCCATGGCTGCGTATTATAGGGGAACTTGTGCGGGTCCGCCCCCGAGCTGGGCTGTGTGTGCCCATAGCCACTTCCTATGAGAGAGCTTGTGCGGGTCCGCCCCCAAGCTGGGCTGTGTGAGTCCATGGACGCTTATTATAGGGGAACTTGTGCAGGCCAGCTCCCAAGTCAGGCTGTGTACACCCATGGCCACTTGCAAGGGGGGCACTTGTGTGGGCCCACCCCCGAGATGTGCTGTGTGTGTCCATAGCCGCTTGCTATGGGGGAACTTGTTTGGGCCCACCCTCGAGTTGGGCTGGAGATCAGCAATCCTCGGCCTGAAATTCATGGATGACTCTAAACTGATGACCTGTATGGGCTCTAAAACCTCCACTTATGGAGAGTACGGGGTACTGAAGTTTGTTGTCATCTTATGGGCGTAGGCAATTTTAAGGCTTGACGCGTTGGGTATCCATTCACTCGGCACAGCCTCATCTTTTAGATTTTACAAACACAATGAGGTAATATATTGCGTTTTGTGCACTAAAGTTAGCTTAATTTTATTTTTTGACTGAAAATTTGCACTTATGTTAATATTGTGGGGCAAACAAATGTGGAACGACCGCCATGTTATTCTCCAGGGGAACGGCTTTCAGAAAATACATTATTATTGCCAAAAAGTATTGGGGAGCCTTTCCACACACGAGTCGCTGTTGTTCCCAGTGGCTTCCACTTTGTTATAATCCCACTAACAGTTGAGCGTGGAATATTTAGTAGCCAGGAAATGTCACGGATGGACTTATTGCCCAGGTGGCCACCTATCACGGGACCACGCTTGGAGTCACTGAGCTCCTGAGAGCGACCCATTCTTTCACCAATGTTTGTAGAAGCAGTCTGCATGCCTAGGGGCTTGATTGTATACACCTGTGTCCATGGAGGGGATTGGAACACCTGAATCACATGATATGGAGGGGATTGGAACACCTGAATCACATGATATGGAGGAAATTGGGACACCTGAATCACATGATATGGAGGGGATTGGGACACCTGAATCACATGTTATGGAGGGGATTGGGACACCTGAATCACATGATATGGAGGGGATGGGAACACCTGAATCACATGATATGGAGGGGATTGGGACACCTGAATCACATGATATGGAGGGGATTGGGGACACCTGAATCACATGATATGGAGGAAATTGGAACCCCTGAATCACATGATATGGAGGAAATTGGAACCCTGAATCACATGATATGGAGGGGATTGGGACACCTGAATCACATGATATGGAGGGGATGGGAACACCTGAATCACATGATATGGAGGGGATGGGAACACCTGAATCACATGATATGGAGGGGATGGGAACACCTGAATCACATGATATGGAGGGGATTGGGACACCTTAATCACATGATTGGGAGGGCGGGGACAATACTTTTGGCAATATAGTGTGTGTATATATACAGTGCAGGAAATGTGTATTTGCTCCCCGGCTGATGCTGGATGGGGCAATGTACCCTCAAATCTTGGGTGAGAACCTTCTTCCCTCAGCCAGGGCATTGAAAATGGGTGGTGGATGGGTGTTCCAGCATGACAATGACCCAAAACACACGGCCAAGGCAACAAAGGAGCGGCTCAAGAAGAAGCACATTAAGGTCCTGGAGTGGCCTAGCCAGTCTCCACACCTTCATCCGATGGAAAATCTGTGGAGGAGCTGAAAGTTCGAGTTGCCAAATGTCAGCCACCAAACGTTAATGACTTGGAGAGGATCTGCCAAGAGGAGTGGGCCAAAATCCCTCCTGAGATGTGTGCGAACCTGGGGGCCAACTCCAGGAAACATCTGACCTCTGTGATTGCCAACAAGGGATTGGCCACCAAGTACTAAGTCATGTTTTGTGAAGGGGATCAAATCCTTCTTTCCCTCATGAACATGCAGATCCGTCATCATTTGTTAGACGTATTTCTGCTGAATTTGTTGTTGTATTCTGTCTCTCAGTGTTACACCGAACATTCCATTGTTAGACCGATCATTTCTGTGTGAGGGGCGAACATTCCATTGTTAGACCGATCATTTCTGTGTGAGGGGGGAACATTACATTGTTAGACCGATCATTTCTGTGTGAGGGGGGAACATTCCATTGTTAGACCGATCGTTTCTGTGTGAGGGGCGAACATTCCATTGTTAGACCGATCGTTTCTGTGTGAGGGGCGAACATTCCATTGTTAGACCGATCATTTCTGTTTCTGTGTGAGGGGCGAACATTCCATTGTTAGACCGATCATTTCTGTGTGAGGGGCGAACATTCCATTTGTTGTGTAGACCGATCATTTCTGATCTGTGTGAGGGGCGAACATTCAGCATCAGCCGGGGAGCAAATACACATTTCCTTCACTGCATATATACAGTATATACAGCTTCAACTCTTCTGGGAAGGCCCCCCACAAGGTTTAGGAGGGTGTCTATGGGAAGGTTGGACCATTCTTCCAGAAGCACATTTGTCAGGTCAGGCACTGATGTCGGGGGAGGAGGCCTGATGTCGGGGGAGGAGGCCTGATGTCGGGGGAGGGGGCCTGATGTCGGGGGAGGGGGGGCCTGATGTCGGGGGAGGGGGCCTGATGTCGGGGGAGGAGGGGAGGGGGCCTGATGTCGGGGGAGGGGGTCTGATGTCGGGGGAGGGGGCTCGCAGTCTCCGCTCCTCATTCTTGGTGTCAGTGAGAGGAATGGCATCCCAAGGGCTGGATGAAGGCAGGCAAAGGGCAGTATCTGGGCTGTAGGCTGCAGCGTAGACATCACCACATTTGTGTGAACAGAGATATAGCAGAGTAATCAATGCAACAATACACAGGATGATCACACACATGAAACAGATAAAACACGAATACAAGGAGCACTACATGAATCAACAAAATCACTCTTTTCACCCCAGTCACCCCCCCCCCCCCCCCCCGAGGACACAGGCAGCAATACACCCCGGACAGAGGTTCTAACCCTCTCCTCCTCTAGATATACTGCAATTCATATCAAATAAATAGAAAGATCGTGGAATGGAACTGTGATTCCTTTTTGGGGTTTTTTTGGTATTCAAAAAAGATTAAATTGAGATCCGGAGGGTCAGATTGAGGTGTACGGGTGACGTTGGGAGTCCGTGTTACATGGGATTGAGGTGTACGGGTGACGTTGGGAGTCCGTGTTACACGGGATTGAGGTGTACGGGTGACGTTGGGAGTCCGTGTTACATGGGATTGAGGTGTACGGGTGACGTTGGGAGTCCGTGGTGTACGGGTGACGTTGGGAGTCCGTGTTACACGGGATTGAGGTGTACGGGTGACGTTGGGAGTCCGTGTTACACGGGATTGAGGTGTACGGGTGACGTTGGGAGTCCGTGTTACACGGGTGTTACATGGGAGTTGTGGTGTACGGGTGACGTTGGGGGAGTCCGTTTACCGTGAGATTGAGGTGTATGGGTGATGTTGGGAGTCCGTGTTACACGAAATTGAGGTGTATGGGTGATGTTGGGAGTCCGTGTTACACGGGGATTGAGGTGTACGGGTGATGTTGGGAGTCCGTGTTACACGGGATTGAGGTGTACGGGTGACGTTGGGAGTCCGTGTTACACGGGATTGAGGTGTACGGGTGATGTTGGGAGTCCGTGTTACACATTGAGGTGTACGGATTGAGTCCGTGTGTACGGTGTGACGTTGGGAGTCCGTGTTACACGGGATTGAGGTGTAGGGTGACGTTGGGAGTCCGTGTTACACGGATTGATTGAGTCCGTGTTACACGAGATTGAGGTGTACGGGTGACGTTGGGAGTCCGTGTTACACGGGATTGAGGTGTACGGGTGACGTTGGGAGTCCGTGTTACACGAGATTGAGGTGTATGGGTGATGTTGGGAGTCCGTGTTACAATGGATTGAGGTGTACGGGTGATGTTGGGAGTCCGTGTTACCGATTGTTACGGGTGATGGGGATTGAGGTGTACGGGTGATGTTGGGAGTCCGTGTTACAATGGGATTGAGGTGTACGGGTGATGTTGGGAGTCCGTGTTACACGGGATTGAGGTGTACGGGTGACGTTGGGAGTCCGTGTTACAATGGATTGAGGTGTACGGGTGATGTTGGGAGTCCGTGTTACAATGGATTGAGGTGTATGGGTGACGTTGGGAGTCCGTGTTACACGAGATTGAGGTGTACGGGTGATGTTGGGAGTCCGTGTTACAATGGATTGAGGTGTACGGGTGACGTTGGGAGTCCGTGTTACACGAAATTGAGGTGTACGGGTGATGTTGGGAGTCCGTGTTACACGGGATTGAGGTGTACGGGTGATGTTGTGAGTCCGTGTTACACGAAATTGAGGTGTACGGGTGATGTTGGGAGTCCGTGTTACAATGGATTGAGGTGTATGGGTGATGTTGGGAGTCCGTGTTACACGGGATTGAGGTGTACGGGTGACGTTGGGAGTCCGTGTTACACGAGATTGAGGTGTACGGGGTGACGTTGGGAGTCCGTGTTACACGGGATTGAGGTGTACGGGTGATGTTGGGAGTCCGTGTTACAATGGATTGAGGTGTACGGGTGATGTTGGGAGTCCGTGTTACACGGGATTGAGGTGTACGGGTGATGTTGGGAGTCCGTGTTACAATGGATTGAGGTGTACGGGTGATGTTGGGAGTCCGTGTTACACGAGATTGAGGTGTATGGGTGATGTTGGGAGTCCGTGTTACACGAGATTGAGGTGTATGGGTGATGTTGGGAGTCCGTGTTGATTGAGGTGTAATGGGGATTGAGTCCGTGTTACAATGGATTGAGGTGTACGGGTGACGTTGGGAGTCCGTGTTACACGAAATTGAGGTGTATGGGTGATGTTGGGAGTCCGTGTTACACAGGATTGAGGTGTACGGGTGATGTTGGGAGTCCGTGTTACACGGGATTGAGGTGTATGGGTGACGTTGGGAGTCCGTGTTACACGGTATTGAGGTGTATGGGTGACGTTGGGAGTCCGTGTTACACGGATTGAGGTGTATGGGTGACGTTGGGAGTCCGTGTTACACGGTATTGAGGTGAGGTGTATGGGTGACGTTGGGAGTCCGTGTTACACGGTATTGAGGTGTATGGGTGACGTTGGGAGTCCGTGTTACACGGGATTGAGGTGTATGGGGTGATGTTGGGAGTCCGTGTTACACGGGATTGAGGTGTATGGGTGATGTTGGGAGTCCGTGTTACACGGTATTGAGGTGTATGGGTGACGTTGGGAGTCCGTGTTACACGTTGATGGTACATTGTTCGGTTCTTTATCTCCCTCACGTTGTTTTCTGTCATTTAGGTCTGGCTCCTATCCAGCACTCATACATAGAGCAGGTGTGATGACACCCCCTTTCCCTGGTGGGCGCACCTCATGTATGACTAATCTGTAGATTCCACAATATGTACAGCTTCCCCCTTGTTCTACACACAGAGCTCCTCATCCTTTTGGCTAGGTACCCTTTAAAATCCAGAAACCTGGGGCCCCCCCTGATCTAAAATGTAAAGAAATAAACTATCGTTTTACAAAACGCAGCAACACACATGGGACACCCAACATTCGAGGGGATTTATTCTTACAAAGCAAGGCCATAAAGTGCTCGAAGTTCATCCAAACCAGGAGGAATCAACCACAATTTAAGTAGTGTATGGCAGCTTAGGACCTCATTTAGAATGTTGTGGTGTCATGGGTCAGGCTTAGAGATCAGAAGCTATAGCAGAGAGAGGCTCCCACCAACCAGCTGGATAAGTAGACAAGTAGGTCACCCTAGAAGATGACGCGGGCTCACCCGAGGTGCGGAGTCTAAGCACTAAACAGTGTTCACCAGAGCTCCTGATAGTGGAGACGGGTTTTGCTGCATGTTAGTACCAGATTGTGGTCCTCAGAAGACCAGGAGATGAGAAAATCAGGGTCCAGTAGCAGATATAGAAGGTTGGGATCAAGCAGAAGCGTAGTCGAGGAACGAGCTAAAGGTCGGTAACAAATGGTTGCAGGTTGGGATCAGGCAGAAGCGTTTTCGAGGAACAAGCCAAAGGTCAGTAGTGAATGGTTGCAGGTCGGGATCAAGCAGAAGCATAGTTGAGGAACAAGCCAAAAGTCAGCAACGAATGGTTTCAGATCGGGTCAGGCAGAAGCATAGTCAAGGAACAAGCCAAAGGTCAGTAATGAATAGTTGCAGTCGGGATCAAGCAGAAGCATAGTCGAGGAACAAGCCAAAAGTCAGTCAAGTAGTTACAGGTTGGGATCAAGCGTAGTTGAAGAACAAGCCAAAGATCAGTAATGAATGGTTTCAGGTCAGGATCAAGCGGAAGCACAGTCAAGGAACAAACCAAAGGTCAGTAATGAATGGGTTTCAGGTTGGGATCAAGAGAAGTGTAGTCGAGGAATGAGCTAAAGGTCGCTAACAAATGGTTGCAGGTTGGGATCGGCAGAAGGTCCAG